AAGATGCTAAACCCTGACTTCCCATTACCCCACTGACTTTCTATGTTATTACTAGGTTATTAAACCATCCTCAGAAGGTATTGGCCAAATAATTCTGACATCCAGAACACTAACTTAGAAAAATAACACCTTGGAGTTGGTCAATACTGATTGAACAAGCCCCAGCTCCCTAGGACAAAAACGAGGGTGATCACCTGATGTGCAGTAGTTTTCTTATTGTTGAGTTTGGGTTGGGGGTGGTTTATTTTATTTCTTAAACCAGGGACAAAATTAAAAGTTTCGTGTAAACCAAGATGAAAGGAGGAGGAGGAGAAAAGAAAGAAAACCCTTGAAAGGCCTACGTATACCGACCACAGCATGGGCTCCGCTGGGGACTTCCGTGTGTGTCCATGTGTCACAGTAAATCAGCTAGCTTTCCCACCCGGGCTGGGGAGAGCACGAGAACAAAGGGCCGGAGCAGCGAGGGCAGCCATGGGCTCGGGGGAGGAGAGACGCACCGAGCCACAAAGACGGCAAGGCAGCGCTGTGGTCAGGCAGCGTGCGCCGGCCCAGGACGGCACCCTGGCAGAGGAGCAGAGACACCCCAGAGGAGAGAGGAGGAGGCATGTCAGCCCGAGGAAAAGCGGCTCCAAAATGATGACCCTTTGAAGGAGCCCTGAATTTCTTTAATCAGCGGATTTCCTCCTCTACAACGCCTCATTTAATAAGGCTTGTTCTGGGCTGAAATTGAATAGGTGTAATTGACAAATGCTTGAATTTGGGTCCCACTCTAGGGGAAAAAATACTTCTACACTGGCTTCTCAAATGTAATTCTGAGGGAAAAAAGATACATTTTAAGGACTCGTCTTCCAATTCAATTCGAGGGTAGGTCCTGACTTCCCTCCTGCTCCCCCACTCTTTCCCTCAAATCGCGCGGGCGCGCGCGCACCCTCACGCACGCGCACAACACTTAGACAATGCCAAGAGATCTTGCTTTCTTTCCCAAGAGAGGCACTAGGGCCACAGACGAGGCAGCTGTCAGGGACTAAGCTGTAATCAGCTTTAACTGGCTCCCGGCCTGGGAGGGCACAGACCCTCTTATTCCTACGCTAACAGGTCAGGCGGCTGGCGCTGGTCTGAGTGCGGGGGTGGTCTGAATTGGTTTCTGTTGGAAACACCTTCCTTCCTCAGGATCTCCCTGCAAACCTTCCACCGCCAGTCCCAAGAATGCAATTATGCACAAAGAAGAGGGCAATTTAAAATTTCAGATCATGGCTTGAACTGTATGTAACATGTCACCCCCACCCCCGAGCATGATTTAGAAGGACAGTAAATCAATGAGACGGTAAAAGCAAAAGTTAAAACACAACTAAAAATGAGTTTTTCAGGCGAGTCTGATATGCCACAAGATTGCTAGTTAAGAACAGTATCCCTTTTCTCGACTTCAGTGTTACACCCCCTTCTCTTCACCAGCATCCTGGACTGAGTGAGTGTAACGTGGGAACCAGAAGGAATGTGGAGGCTATTAGCTTCACAGGTGGCCAAAGACAGGGGTTTTCTCTACACAGTGGAGCTGTTTAGGTGTGAAAGGACGCCTCCCCTTCACCTCAAATGTCTATTGTAAAAAGGTATGGACTGGATGAGATTAAGGTCACCATATCTGTACCACGAAACAAAAGAAAAAAGTAAAAAAAAAAAGGCATTCACTCGAATCTTACAATGGGAGGTGGGAGTGGTGGGTGGGTGAGGGTGGGGATAGGAAAGCAAGGGGGTATCTAAACAGCAGGATACGACAATAAATGGGGAAACAGCAAGAGAAAAAGCACACTAGGTTAATATAGGAAACTAGTTCTTTATTGAGAGATTGTATATTAGTATTAGTGGATTCTGTGTGTAACAATGTTGTCATGCACACAATACAAAAAAAAAAAAAGAAAGAAAGAAAAAAAAAAGGCTGGGCCCACCATGCTTCGAAGGGCAACAGAACAAAAGCAGCGTACAATGAGCAGATGGCCCGGGCTACACAGTACGGTTCAGCAGGGTAACGTCTCTAACCGAGCGCTGTACATTGTCAACTGGGGGATGTAAAAAAATACAGATCATGCTTTAGTTTTAGTACAAGAAAAGGTGAAAAAGATACACAACCAAAAGGATATTTGATACAGAAAAAATTACCCACAAAATAAGAACAGGAAGTAATCCAGCACAGCAGAACACGCTATCCCTGTTTAATGGAAAACCATTTTGCTGGGGATTCTTTTTTCCTTTCCTTTTCTTTTTTTTTTCTCTTTCCTTTCAGATTGCCACATGGCAATCTGGGGAGGCCACTTGGGACTCGATTTTGGAAGGGCCCTCAAAGTAGGGGCCTCATTCTCTCATTACTGCCGTTCTGTTTCCAGCAGGTCTGGCCAGCAAGGCCGCAGAAGGGAGCCGGCTGTTAAAGGGGCAGCTCTGAGGGCCAGGGCAGGTGTCCAAAGACGCTCTTGACATTGTACAATTAAACAATTAAGACACCATCAGCTTTGGCTCCCCCTTAAGCCATGGACCTTGCTGCACCAAATTTTCAGAGGCTGCAGCAACTGTCATTTCATCAAAGATTTTCATAGATGTAGATTTATTATTTTTTGCCTCCGACTAAATGTGATCTGTTCACTTATGCCTGGGTGCCTCCAGGAAGCTAGCTTATGGCCACCCAGATAAGTGGGAAATGGGGTGCTCTGGTCTCCAAGCCAAGGCAAAAGGAATCCACTTAACAGGGATTTACAGTGCAATGTACTCAGCTAAACAAGATGAAGATACAAAAATGGTTATTTCTCTACATCTATTCTGAAATGGTCTATATCCTATACTACTACAATGGAAACTAAAAAGAACAGATTTAAGCTTGCAGGCTATCTAATAGTTTTACAAGAAGATTGTGGTTTAAGACCTTGTCAAGTTAAGCATTAGTATCCTCTATCGGAAGGTCATGAATTCTTATCACATTGTGCTATATTTTACCCACAGCCCGGTCACCCTCAGCCCTTGAATCTCCTGTGAGCGTGTCTGCCATGAAAGGAAACTTTGACTGTAGGGCAGAATTAGTTTTGTTGGATTTTTTGGGGGGGTGGGGGGAGTATTAAAAATAAAATTTAAAGGCAGCTGAGCAATTTGAATTTCAAAACATGGACTCGACATCCTGCAATGGTATTTAGAGATCGGTGGTATTAATGAGGATGATAATGATTTAATCAGGATAATTATACTTTCAGGCTCAACATCCTTCTTAATCATTTTTGAATTTCTGCCTAGTGTAATGTTCCACACCCGTTTTCAGAGGAAATGCCAAGTAATAAGACATAATTGTGATTTGGGGGAGGGGGTTGGCATTTCAAGAGAGACTTCATCCAGCCCCCACTCCTATTCCTCACACACCCACTCCACCACCGCCCCCAGTGCTAGGCTGGCCTGAGATAGGGGATACTGCCGCTTAAATAGCAATGCTTTCCTCAGATGGAGACAGGAGATGGTTAAGAGGGGTGTCACAATACAGCTAAATGCGGAGGCAGAGGGTCACAGCGCACACAGCAGCGAGTTGACCATTCACTGAGCTACACAATGAAGAAAAAAAAGATTTGATAAATGCAGAATGTCATCATTCTATCATCACACACAAAAAAAACTGCGGTTCAAACAGGCCTAAGAGGGTCAACCTTGCCTTTTAGGTTCTGGGGAGAGGCGTGAGGTTGGGGACAGCTGGGCTGGGCTTTCATTTTCTCGCCCAATCGGGCCCCTGGGGCGCACTAAAGAGCTGGCCCCGCGACCCCACCCCCCACTCAGTCCCGTGGAGCAGCCCTGGTCGCGAAGGGAAGACATCATTCTGTGCGTGAGGGAGGAGGAGGGCCTTAGCCAGCAGGGATTTAAGCAGATGTGAAGTGGGAGAGGATAGAAGAAGCATTTCCAAGAAGAGGAATGTGAGTCCAGAGGCAGAATACAAAAAGAATAAAAAATGAATCTAAATGCATCTCGGATCTGCTTTGGGAGGTGGGAATTTTTGATTAAAAGAAAATGGAAGAAATGGGTGGGGGGAGGGGAAATCAAGCTATTGTACCAGAAGGTGAGGGAAAGGGATGTGGGGAAGGGGACCGTGCAAACACACCCCATATATCACCGTTAAAAACAAAGCCGGCGCGGGCCTGCTGCTTGATCCACGCCTGCACCGGGCAGCGGCCTGGCGTGGGGCAGCTTACCACCTCATCCTCACACACAGCAACACCCAAGGGCCAGGCCCCCGGCTCCAGCTGGGCCCAGGAGTGCACAGCAGTGCACGTCTGACTCTCGGAGGCGCGCACACTCTTGCACACACACTCATACACACACACACCCCCAAGCATTTTGAACCGGTGAGTGCAACTGTCATACAAAGACAATGGGGGGTGAGGGAGATAGCACAAGGTGACACAGAAAGGGTTAATGGAAGAAAAGGATGGGACGGGAAATCGTGCAAGTTCCCACGAGAAGGTGGGGGCTGGGGCTTGGGATGGGGCAGATCCGAGATCCCAGCTACCCAGCCATCGGTACCAATGGCCAAAAAATGAAATAGAAACACAGATAACACAAAACATACAAGTACCTAAAAAAAAGAAAAGCTATTCACAGAAATCTAAATGTTTCCACACACAGAAACACACGCACACACGCACACACAGTCATGTATCTCGGTCTTCCGATCATACAGGGCTAGGAATTAGGGGAAGGGGCTGTGACTTGGGGGAACTGCGTCCGCCGCAAAGAATAAAAAAATGGGGCTGGGGAGGGAGGGACCCAAATTCGCCAAACCCTAACTTCACTACGAAAGCTCCCACGAGGGCAGCCGCCCTCACACTCAGGGGTCCCCCCAAAAGGGAGAGGGGAGAAGCCACCACTCGCCCTGCGTCCCCGCGGGTGTGCCTGAGCCCCCCGTCCCCCGCGGTGCCCGCCCCCGCCCCGTTGCCTGCGGCGATCCACACTCCGAAGCGGACCCCAAAAGGAAAAAGCGATACCTCTGTTTCGCACAGAGCCAAACACTGGAAGCACGAGATAGCCGACGTGGACCAGGACCATCCTGGCTCCTCGCGCGGCGGCGGCGGCAGCTGCGCGCGGGCCCTTTGTGGCGCGGCTCCGGGGCGCGGGCGCGGGCGGCGGCGGGGCTGCGGGAGCCGCCGGGGCGGGAGGCGGAGCGCGGGGCGCGGGCGGCGGTGGGGCGGCGGCTGGCGGGGAGACAGATGGCCCATGGAAAGGCTCCCTTCCCGGCCCCTCTCGACATTCAAAGGCGCTGGGGCCGCAGCTGCCGCCACACAAAGGCGCGTGCAGCCAATGGGAGCGGAGCGCAGCGCGGCGCGGCCTCGCCGGAACCGCGGGGGACAGCGGGGACCGCGGGCGCGCGGGTGGCTAGGGGGAGGGAGGGGTGACGGCTGAGAGGGAGCAGGCGGCCAATCGCGGTGGCCCGTGGCCCAGCGCGAAGGGGTGGGGCGGGGGTCAGCCCCCGGGGAAGCGTGGAGCCCAGCGCGGATCCCTGGCCGCCCGCAGGCCAGAGCGCGCGCGCACGCGAGGCACCCTGAACACAAAATCGGACGGCGTGCACACGCAACCTGCACACACCGAGAGGAACGTGCACCCAGACATGTGAAAGTGCGTTGGTGCGTGCGGAGAGACAGGCGCGAGCACACCAAATGCACACGGCCCGGCCCGCAGGTCCTTGCACACTGCACGCGGGTCACTTGGGGACTGTGCGTGGAGGCTGGCAGGCGCACGTGCTGAGCCTGACTGCGGGCTCAAGTGAAGCTGGAAAACGAGCAAGCAGCGATCGCAGGGCACTGTCACACAGACATGCTCACACCCAAAGCCTTGTTAACGCAGGAAGTGTGCGTGCCAAGAACACATTCCCAAAGACACACGGAGGGAACACACAATGCAGATATGTACACAATGCAGGGATGTACGCTCCCTGCCTGTCGCACCACTTTGTAGCTCTTGCAGAGCAAGGAAGCTGGCAATAATCATTTGTTGAATTGAAAGCTACTCATCCACTGAGGTATGTGCACACATTCTATACAGAAACAGGCGAACCCAGAAAACCCAGAGTCATTCAGACAACGTTCACCCCACTCTGACACAGACACAACCAGCCATGTGCACAGACACGCCCACTTCCACAGCTGGCAGGTACAAACATGACATCGGGCTAACGAGACTCCTCAGGTTCACATGTGGAGGCACAGCCATGCCATCCTGTGTGGCTTGTGGCTGCACTTCCAGGTACAGGCAAGACACAAGCCGAGAGTGTCACCTTGCAGCCCTGCAGTCAAGTGCACTGCTAAGACTGTTCTGTGCGCTCAGCCCACCTTCTATGAAAACTCCCAGCGTGACCCTCAGCTCAGGCATGCAGTCCACACCAAGGCCACACCATGGTGTGCTAGGGGGATGGGCGGTCATCCACAGGCGGAAAGACAGAGGCCATGTCCTGCACTGAGACGTGCCTTCAAAATCCAGGGGCTGCTTTACTTAATGAATTGGTGAAAAAACTAGACGGTAAAATCACAGAATGTGGAACTGGAAGGACACTGATTCAACCCATCCTGCCCCCTTTCTAGAGACAAAGAGGAGGACCATCCACTAGGTGTGAGTTGTGTTTGTGTCAGGGCACAGGGTGGTGATGCAGACCTTCCTGAGACCTCAACCCTTACAGCCCAGAGGGGGCCTCTAAAATGTAAACGCAATCACCATCATGCCTGCCAGGTGTGGTGATGGGCCAAGGCATAGGGTGTGGTGGGGGTGGAGGAGACAACTAGGAGGGCACGTAGCCCACTGGGTGGGAGGTAGGAGGGGCAGTTGGAGTTGACGCTAGAAAAGTGACTTCTAAACCGAGACTTGAAGAATGCAGAACAGGCGAAGTGAGGTGAGGCAAAGAAGACAGCAAAGGGAAAAGCAGAGCCTGGCTTGGCCAAGACAGTTACCCTATTTCCACCGGTGGCAGCAGGGCAGGATCCCGGTACGCATCTTTCTCTCTCTCAGGAGAACAAGTGTCCTGTTCCCCTCCTTAAACACCCCCAGCTGTCCCCAGAGAACTCAGCAATGAAGGTAGCCAGGGGAGACCTCCCAACAGTCCCAAGCCTTACGCTAGAAGATCATTTCACCCTAATTCTGCCACTGACTCTTTCCTTTTTCTGTTATCTGTCAAATAAACACAATGCCACCACTAATAAAAGTCTTAAAAATGAAAAGACTGAACAAATACCTGACTACTAGAATTTTTTCCTGTTCTATTTTAGGCTTTGCCAATATGCATATGTATCAGATTCGTTATCATATTGGTGTATTTTTTACCCTTCCTTTCATTTTATTTTTTATCTTGCTATTTAAACTTCAAATTTTACCAAAAATTTCCCTGTCTTTCCACATAATTACCTCTGTAATTTTCATTTTAAATGTTTTTATAGTATTCCAACAAGCGAGTATACTGTAAAACTATTTAATTATACTCTAAAACACTTCATTTGCTCCCAGTTTTCCATTACTGCAGGTCATACAGTGAATTTCTTCATGCCTACGGCTTGTTGCTTTTGTTAAACTATAAGCTGAGAATGCATTTCTAGTGTTGGTGTTCTTAAATTGACCGTATGGAAAACTTAAGGGCTCTTGGCACGTATTGCTTTGTAAAAACACTAAACCATCAATGCTACCAGCAATATGTAGTGTGCTGATGCCTCTGCGACCTTGCTAGCCTTGGGTGGGTACTGTGTTTGTTCGTTCATTTGTTTGTTTGTTTGTTTGTCTGATTTTACTTGAAGAGCAGCTCACAAAGGCTTATGACCACCCAGCCTGACCTTGACTGCAGAGCGCTGAGGTTACACACTCTGAAATCAGATTGCCTGGCTGGACCTTCTGGCTCTGCCACTTACTAGTGTGGACAACTTATTTAACCTCTCTAGGTCTGGGTTTCAATATTCATAAAGTAGGCATGATTGTAGCAACCTTCCCCACAGGATTAATATGAGGACCAAGTAAGTTAATACTTGTAGAGCGCATAGAATAACGCCTGGCTGCTCAGCTCTTCATTCTTTCCCCTTTACTTGTCCATCTCTCCTTGTCCACTCCTTCTTACCCTCCCATTACTATTTATGATTGACTAGTTATTGCATTTAGTGTAAATTATACCATAACATGGAACATCCATCAGACAGAAGGCATAATCATCAAGGAACAGACCAGCACGTAATGTAAACCCAGGGAAATCCACCTTCTAACTACATCCTTCATAGTCACACATCAGAGAAACACAACAACAGATGCCCACATTCACCAATATACCAATATTCACACACAGGCATGCGCCTCCTGCTAAGAAGGAATTATTGTGTATTAGTGGGGCAGAGGGGGTGGGCTCTGCCCCCAGAGCCCCCCATTCACCATGGATGAGAATAAGTCTAACAAGAGATGATCTGCATGGGAAGGAAATGTGCCCGATCTCTCAAAGAAGAAGGGCCAGTAGCCTGTTCCTCAATAGGTTTTATTGGGTTCAATTTGCAGAGGAATACATGTAAGTCTCATCAATCATTGTCAGGCAGTAAGGATCAAACAATAGATAACATACAAAGAGCTATGAGGGCTTATTCTGAGTCAGGGTCAGTTAGCTAAAGGGCTATAAAACTTTGGGAAACCAACTCATGTTATGCTTGGATCCTTATCATTTAAATTGAGGGTATTAGCAAAGCAGGTTTCATAGGATTTTATGCAATCTTTCTTAGGCCTGATAGCCCCGGGGAACCTGCCTGCCCTTTCCAGCACAGGGCCACGCCCACCTCCGGCATTGTTTCAGGTTTAAGTCAGGCAGGGGAAGTAAGGCAGCCAAGAGATTAGGAGACTTCTTACCGACAGAAGGAGGACTCAAGCTATGTCAAAGCCAAGGGGTGAGGGTCCATCACCCCCTTTTTGTACAGCCCCCCAAGTCTTTCCCTGAGGGCCCCTTCATGACTGAGCCTGTCTTAGGTCGTCCCTCCCTTGAGGAATCTTACCCGTCATTGGCTAACCAGTCATCCACACAGGGCCAAGCAGGGTGAAGTAAAAGGGGGCAAAAGCAGCGCCCCTGCCAGGGAGGTAAACTTTGTCTCCTTAGTGGCTTATGGTCTCAAGGTCTCTTTACTCAGTCTTAACCATGGGGAGTTACAGCTTCTGAAAACAGGCAGAGTAGTTTCCAACAGATTAGCAAGAGGAGTTTCATTTTTAATGAAATTTGGGGTAAGCACCTCAAAGCACATAGATCAGCTTCAATGCACTGATCTATCTAATAGGGATAATACTAATCCTTGTCACACCTTCCTTAAAGGTTCAATGTGTGGACCAAATGAGAAGATAGCTATGGAATCTGTAAATAATACAGAAAATTCTAGAAGCATGCATGCAGTGGTGTCTCAAACAATGAAACTTGATAATTATCTTGCCCATCCCTTGTTCAACAGTGGAGGGGACTGAGGCCCAAAAGTGGGGTTATTAACAAGGTCACAACCATTCCTGGCTGAGTTAGAACTAGAATCCATATTTCCCAGCACACAGCCCCCTGTTGCTCCTACTTTCCCTGTTCTTCCTTTGTGCTGAGATGACTGTTTTCCAGTCCCCCTCCCATTAGTTAAAGTCCACGGTAAAGCCAATTCTTGAGAATAGAGGGATTTGTAGGAATACTCGATTCAGCGTGGGTTTTTTTCTTTGTATGTTCTTCCCACCCACTGACCAAAACAATACCTGCAGCATATTTGCAGACTTAGCATGTAAGACTCAGCAAGAAATATTAAAAAATGAAAGGTGAAGGTCAATCTATAATCTCTGATCCAAAATAGAGAAACATGACCCTATAAGGTTGAAATAGCACTGCCACCTTCAACTGTGACCCACACTCAGAGACCTCGCTCTCTTTTGTGTCCATTCTGACCACCTGCAGAAAGGGTCCTATGGGGCAGCAGTCCCCAACCTTTTTGGCACCAGGGACTGATTTGTGGATAAGAACGTTTTTCCACAGACAATGGTGGTGCAGGGAGATAGGAGGCAGGGCTCAAGCTGTAATGCGAGCAAAGCTTGGATCTCTCCCCCACTGCTCACCTCCTGCTGTGCGGCCAGTTCCTAACAGGCCACCAACCCTGGGGGCTGGGGCCCCCTGCTACAGAGCATCACGTTTCTTTGTGTCAAGAACTACTTTGGAGTCCAACATCAGATCTGGGGTAACACCAACATTGCCCTTT